CAAAACGACATAACGAGCTCGGCCTTGCCTAGATCTAAAGACAATAGGTTTCTCTATCGATTGGTACCATTGAAAGTTCAGCTCGAATAAAAATTAGTACCACGAGGCAGCACACAATATGTTCAACAAAAATTCCCCTGGTTGATCAATTGCTCGACCATTCCAAATCGGAGGGATTTTGTGTCCTCCAGCTTGCTCTTTCGAATGATGAAAACCGCAGTTCGATAGCTCAAAGTGATCAAAAGTTATTCAAAAAATACCCGTTAGTACTATAAAAATAATCCGACATTAATTTCTTGAATCAAATTCAACTCTATCAAATCTTAATAATAGCGATGAAAGCTAACTGTTAGAATCTGGTAAAAAGAATATCATCGAATCATTCTAGATTCAATAAGAATCGACATGCAACTTTTCTTATACTCACTATTTAGATCTCTATTCTAGGGTTAGATCAATTTGTGCGATTTTGAATCGTTATACCTAAAAATAATGAAAACAGATGATAATTATTACCACTAATTAAAAATTTAAAAAATAAATGCCCGAAATTGTTACTCTTGAGACATGTGTGACGAAGAATCGTTCGCAGACACATGTTTTCGTTTTTTTATTATTATTGTTCAACTAAATTAACACAAAGACCCATATGTTCATTCAACTGAATTAATTATATTTTAGGTGGGGATGGAAGTGAGTATGGGTGTGGATGTAAGGTGTTTGTGAGGCCTGGGTGTAGGTGTGAGGATAGGAGAGATAAGAATACGCAAACACATCCACACACCCTCGAGACTAAAATTCTTTTCTTTGTTGTTTCTCTCGGTTTGATACACTGTTGACTTTTATCATTTACGTTTGCTTTGTCATTTTGACGAGAAAAAAAAATACTTCTTCACTGTTGATATCATCGTAACAGAAAGACTTTGTTTTTTCGTCATCTTTTTACGATAAGAAAAGAGATTTTGCAAAACAAATTTGCTCAGTGTCTTGCTATTATTCGTCCTCTTCTTATCGTGAAGGTGTTATCAAGAGTCACGAGCAAAAAAGAGCTGATCGAAGGATGACATTAACAAGTGACAGTTTGTTTTCTCTTCTAGAAATAATACCATCTAAAAATTCATATAAGACAGTGTCTATTTTCACTAGATGTCAATGAAATCGATCGGATACAATATCTTGTAAGATGGAAAAAACTAATTTCTGCATACTAAAGTTAAAGAATTGTAGTTCGAAGGTTTTCTATTGAATAGAAAAGATTCAGAGTGAGAATGAGAAAAAAATCTTACAAGTCAAATCCCTTTAGTCACTGATGAGAGAAGATTCTCTACTTATTTATTAAGAGAGTCTCGTCGATCTGCGACGAATAAAGTCCGATTTGTTAATATGTTATGTTTTCGAGTGAATCGTCAGATAAAAATTCTTTCCGAGAGAATTTGAGAGATCTTTGACTATTGTTACATGACTGTTTCAGATCAAATTGTTCAATCCAAAACATGAAATCAATGTGGTCAAGACAAAGAATCCAGATTCGATTGGATGAAAAATTTCTTTGGAATTTAATTCTGTTCGTTGTTATTTTAATCCGAAGAAGTTCATGTTATGAATTTCAACCAATCCTTGGTCAAAAATATATTCAATTTCCAACAAGTACAAATAATAGTTTCGCACAAAAACATTTTATTCTAGGCCTTGCACATTTGCATAGTTTTGGATATTCATTCGCATTTGAACAATTTGAAAAAGCTTTGAGTATTGATTCTGGATTCGCAATGGCGTATGTATTTTCATCTTTAACCAATACTCGACCTGTTTGGTTAGGAGAATATCCCAAAGAAGGTTGGGAACAAGTTAAACGAATGAATTTAAATATTCGTTTTGAAAATTTAACACAAAGAGAACAACTTTATGTTGAAGCGGTAAGAAAATTATTTGACAATGGAACAATGCATTACGATGATTATATCGATAAATTAAAACAAATTATCGATCAATTTCCAACAGATAATGAAGCAAGGGCATTTTTAGTTTGTATTTTATTTTGGAAGACTCAACCAGAAATTCGTGGATATTTAAATCGAAATCCCGAAGCTCGTCAATTACAAATGAAAATGTTAAACATGATTTTAAAAACGAATCCAAATCATCCAGGTGCATTACATTATTCCATTCATCTCTATGATCAACCTCAAACTGCTTCATTTGCTTTACCAAATGCAATTAAATATTCTCAAATAGCACCAAATTCTCCACATGCTCAACATATGGTAACACATATTTATCTTCGTTTAGGATTCTATCAACAAACCTTAATTGGAAATTTAGAATCAGATGAAGTTGAAATTGATAATCACCGACAATATCATAGTATCGAATTTTTACATTATGTTTATTTAAATATGGGAAGAAGATCAATTGCTTTACAGTTTTTGGAAAATCTTAAACCATTATTTAGTCTTGACATTTTTTACAAAATGCAATATGGGATAATGTACAATCGACATATTGTAGAAACCCAAGATTATCAGTTTGCATTTGATAATCCATTTGATTTAATTAACTGTTCGGAATGTCAATCATTGGGTGATCGATTTTGGTTATATCAAATTAATTCTGGATTGATACTTGTCAAAGGATTTTCGACAATTAAAAATGATCAACAATATAATTCTACTCGAGTTCAACAATATATTCAACAATTAACAGAGATGGCAATTCAATTAAATCAAAGTCAACCAACACTTTCAATATCGATCTTGGCAATGAAATTTCAATTGGAAGCTTTTCATCAGTTTTATCGAATAGCTACGACAAACGATGAGAAAAATCTCGCATTGAAGTATGCTCAAATAGCCAGTGAACTTGAATTATCTGTTAATCCACCCAGTTATGGTCCTCCAATTGATCCAGTTAAACCCAGTCAAGAACTTTATGGTGAATTACTCTTAGAAAATAAACAATATGAAAAATCAATCGAACAATTTTTAAATGTAATGACCTATTTTCCAAATCGAACATTGACACTTCTTGGATTAGCAAGAGCAAATTCGGCACTCAACAAAACAAATTCAGCTCGATTTTATTATTCTCGTTTAATTACCGATATGTTTTATAAATCAGATTTTGGTCTCCCTTGGTATGATGAAGCATTCAATTATTTAGCTACACATTTATCTCTCAATTCAAATAAACAATGAAAAAGACATTGTTTTTGTCTAACTAAAGACAATTCTCTTACGTACAAGAAAAACTATTTGAATGTTCTAATTGTTGATCATTGAAGAATCGAGTTCAACATTGTTTTGTTGTGACTATGGGTTCTTTTTTTTGAAATCGTGTAGAATACAAAATTTCCAAAAGCAGGAAATAAAAAAGGGAATATCATTTTTGGTCAGTAAAAAATATACAAATGATCAGTTTTTTACTTATAAATATCGGTAAAAAAAAAACAGATTTTATTAGTAAAAGAAATAAGTTTTCTTCAGCTAAAGATTAATTTAGTATTAGAAAAATAAATTTAAATAAAAAAACACAGAATAAATAAGACTTCTAAGAGAACATTGAATAGAAATTCAAAGAATAAATGAAAAACAAGAAAATGAAAATTAAATCATCGCATTAGAATATGTATACCAATTAGGAAAAAAAATCAAAGGTACTGTAAGAGAAATATGAATGATTTGGAAGAATAATGTGTTATACCTTGAGTTTACTCAATATAACTATTGTTTTCAACTAATTCAAACTTATACATTTCGATTGAGATAGCTAGAATTTTATTTTAATATAGCTTTTGGTTCACCTTCTTCAGATGCTTGCGAGAGTAACGCAGAAATTGAACTTCAGTCTGTCGATCTATTCACAAATGGTATGGAATAGCATGAAAAGTATGAAACTGCTGGCATGTAAAGTCATGAAATGATGCAAGATCAAGAAATTTTCTTTTTGAGATAGTGTGCAGAATCTTCTTGCCCATCGAGACATTTCATATATAAACCAAGTCAAATAGATTCCCACAGCCAGCATCGAATAGCAACGATCGATAATAAAGAAGCAAGCAGCCATAGTAAAATACATAATTACCAATAGGAAAGAATTTTGAACTTCCAAGTCCACAGCCAATGTTCCGTTAGGTCTTTTGCTCATCTTGTTCGATTTGATATATTTTTGTGAATAGATAAATACTAACACATGTGAGAACGGGTGTGGGTGTAGGTGTGGGTGAAAAGAATGTCCACATCCACACCCAACTTACACCCTCCGTCAATTATCATTTTTTTGATCGTCAGTGAGAGTCTGTAGCATATGGTGACCGATCACATCGCTGATAATAAATTAGAAAAAGGTGGTTTGATTTATGATGCAGATTATTAGTAATCATTTACCTTATCTTTCTGCAAAATCACCAGTGATATGATCTGAAATCGATAGTGAAAATGAATAAGTGATCACAAGTGATAGCCATTACGTGCTGATCTACCTTATCTTTAGAATAATTTGTCCGCTGTTTCATTTAAGAACTTTCATTTTGCCAAACTCACTATAAAGAATAATTAATGTGAGTGTATAATTAGAAATTTCTTCTTCCCTGTTACAGATAATTCAGTTTTATGTTATCAAGAAGCTTAGCAAAAAGTTTGTATTTTAAAGTCTGTCGGATTATTGCTTGTAGGGTGTGGATGTGGATGAAAAGAAGACCTTCATCCACAACCACATCTCGCATGATAGTTGAGCACACAATGAAAAAAACCTACCAATTCAGAACAATTTACTAATTTATGAAACTAAGGACGTCGTTAACGAGCAAGATACATCATTGTCACTCAAAGAGCTCGTTATGATTGACACCAAAGATTCGAAGATTCTTGTTGTACTAAAAGTTATCGAACTAGAATTGATATTGGCTGTAGCGTTTACGGTCGATAATAAACTTATTGCTGGTAATAATCTTAGGCTAATACGGTTCGCCATTGTTTTATATCGCCGACTACGATTTTACGTACGTCGATGGCAAACACCTACTCTTGCAGCCATCGAAGCGTTCGATTTAGCATAAATGCATTCAATGACGAACGTTTTTATGAATACCCTACAATGTCTTGATACTATGGAACACACATCTCAACTGCAAGGCTTACATCAGCCATCGTCATCCTCACCACATTATTATTCACTTTCTGCTTTGATTCGATCCATTTCTGCTGGACCTTCCTTGCCATCACTAAAATTCTGATTTACAAGTTTTCAACTATGAACATCATATTCTTTCTGTTTTTTTTATCCTATTGCACTGTCAATTCTTGGTTTCATTTTCTTCAATTATTCTCTTTCTTTTATTGCTCTGTTCATATCAATATTTCTATTATCTTTCATCTTCTTTTCTTTTTTGTTTTTTTTTCTTATTTTCTATTTTCGAATATGAGTAGATCCAAATTTTCGTCAGTGAGAAGGCATGTTACAAGCATATATCTCATATGCCTTCATACACTCCGTTCTTATCAACATCTGTTTTGCTCTGCTCCTATTCTGATTCATTTTTTTAATCGTTATTCTTCTTGGGTCATTCGAAGAGAAAACAAACATAGAGAAGTTATAAAAAGAATCTTCTAATAGTGCGTCACATGATAATGTGTGTGTGTTGATGTATCAACAATTAGATAATGACTCATCATTATCTTATCAGTTTTTAGTTACACAAGACTAACATCATTACATTGCACAATACAAACAACAATAGAAAGAGTATATATTTAGGTAGCTATTTTGTTGCATATTCTACTAAACATTTTAGAAATTCTTCAGAAAGAAATTGGCAATGCGAGTGCTCATTTTAGTTATTTTGGTCGTTGGCTGTGTTAGCAGTGCTCAAATTCTGATCGATAACGTACGAATCTCTTCGAGCGGTTCATCCAGCGCCACAACTTCAAAAGCTACTACCAAACCAACTACGACTTCAAAAGTTACTACCAAACCAGTTACGACTTCAAAAGCTACCACTATGCTAGCTGTGACTTCAAACGCTACTACCAAACCAGTTACCACTTCAAAAGCTACCACTGGGGCAACTACGACTTCAAAAATTACCACTAGGCCAACTACAACTTCAAAAGCTACTACCAAACCAGCTACGACTTCAAAAGCTACTACCAAACCAACTACGACTTCAAAAGTTACTACTAAACCAGCTACGACTTCAAAAGCTACTACAAAACCAGCTACGACTTCAAAAGTTACTACCAAACCAGTTACCACTTCAAAAGCTACCACTAGGGCAACTACGACTTCAAAAGCTACCACTAGGCCAAGTACAACTTCAAAAGCTACTGCCAAACCAGCTACGACTTCAAAAGCTACTACCAACCAGCTACGGCTTCAAAAGCTACTAGTATCATGGGTATCAAATCGGTGAAATCGACATGGACATTTGTAGTCAGCACTTTGGCAGTGATCTTAATCCGAAACTTTTAAGTGACGCAATGTGCTTTTGTGAAATATGTAAAGTTTTATCAATAAAATTGATGCGTGATTGATTCATGAACAAAATTATATTACATTCACCGTTTATTCCTAATGAGGATATCTTCTTCATGATAGTTCCTTTCTGGATAAAAATTAGCAGAGCGATTTCCTGAAAAACCAACACCGGTATAGAATGAATGTTTTTGTCATTTTCATTTTCTACCAAAATTGGAGTCGACTGATTTTTTTTCAACTCAACAGAACCAGTGAGTTTAGCTTTTAAATCAGTTTTTGTTCGTTTAATGTATCATCCTTGACATACGCTAATACAAAGAATGAAAGAAGAAGTTTTTCAGAACTTTTCATCAAGTAAAATTCATAATAACTGATATTGAACAATTTTTATGGGTTGTCTTGTCTCATTTCTTTTACTAAAAATACAATTTCTTTACAAGAATTTATAAGATTGATATTTTTTTTATTTAAAACCATTATTTAACATAACTCAAATGCTTCTCAATTCGTATAAAGTTATTAAGGGTATCTCCTCTCCTTCTTTTTACAAGTTTACTCAAAGTTCTCGGATGCTATCCTCTATAAGATAATGAAGCTGTATTGGCGCAAAATGATCCAATTTTGGCTCTCGTTCATGTTAATATTTGTTTTCGTTTTGCTTTTATGTTTTGTTCTTCGAATAGAAAATCCAAAATATTCAGAGTATCCTAAAAAGTGCATATTATTTTTTAAATAGAGCTTTTTCTGTAAGAACTACAGAAAAAAATACTGATCCCAAATAATGGAACGTACTAAGCAGAAGAAACGGAAAAGTTTCTGCGCTTTTTTTTCATGAAAAGATTGTTTCGAGAAAAATACAAAACAGTATATAGTTCTCGCCACAGTTTTATTTTGTTATACGATGCTGGCATTTGTAAACTGTGCTGTTGATACCAACACCTAAACTCCTGGTTGATATTTCATAATCATCTGTGACGGAATTACGTCGTGTTGAAAATGGAAATCGAGCATATTTTTCCGAAATATTGGACGGCCTACAATAGAGTACAAATAAATGATGAATGGTAATGATAAGCAGAATAGCGTCTGAAGGAATAAATTAATCCGTTCACTTACTTCTTTTTTATTGTAGTTTTATTGGTCGCCATTGCTGTGTACGAATTCTTAATAATTGTCAAAAGAGAAAAAATTAAATGTCTTGTGAAACTCGAATAAGTCAGGCCTGTGTCATCTATGTTGTATAAATTTTCAAGCACGCTACAGCTGTGCAATCGTGAGGCATTACATGAAACGCAATAAAGAAAAAATCCGATTTCATGAAAGAACAGAACAAGACAAATAAAACACGTGCGGTATAGGAATAGCAAAAAAAAACCGAGTAGTATAGAACTGTTGTTACGACCAAACGCTGATGAAAGAGAGAAGAAGAAAAGAATTAATATTAGATGTCGATGGTTGCCTTTTTTCCCAGTATATGTAAGATGAATTCAAAGCACACAAACACACACCAATTTTGATAAAACTACTTTCTATGAAACAGCTGATTGATCAAAAAAATGAAGTGTTTTGTTAGTTATTGAGAATTGAAATGAGTTCGAATACTTGAGACATTTTCTTTTATATCCCAATACTTCAGCATCAACTGCAATTATTTCGTCATAACGTATGTAATCTCTTTCTGCTCCGCTTTAACAACGATCATTGCGACGTGTTTATGAAAAAAAAAAGAGATGACGTGGGTGGTAAATTGTTTATTCACGACATCTAACCCACCACTTTGTTCAATGGTCGAACCTGTTTGTCAATAAAATTTTCTTCTTTCCTATCGCTATATGGATAGTTGCGACACATTCTGTATACAGTAATTAACAACTCGTATGGTATATTTTTTTTTACCAATCGCTATGCTGCACGTAGTATGGTGACTAAGAAGATAATTACGCATCCAAATATGTTTGCAAGACAGTCGCAATGAGCCATATTCACGCTTATTGGTCTCAAGAAGAAATTATTTTTCTTACACTTCCTTTAGGTTTTCTTTGTTTTGTCATAAACAAAAATAATAAAATCAAAGGAAGGAAAAGAAAAACAATGGAACCTTGCGACCATGTGCTAAATGTGAATAAAGTTGATAGTGCATTGCAATTTAGAAATGGTCGTGCATAGACGTTTTTTAATGTTAGGCAGCATCAATACCTCTGCTCTCTGTAGATACCATGCTTTTTCGTGAAATCCATTTTTCGATAATAGTCTTTTCTATATTCAGAAAAAAAACGAAACATGACAGACGTGCGTCAATGCTGTTGCAAATTTAGCAAAGAATTCAAAGAGTATGTAGTAATAAATTTTTCGAAAAATCTCATCAAAATTCTTGATCACATAGATTTGCTTTGCAAGGTAACGTACTTGATTTGGCTATTGGCATTATTATTGGCACCGCTTTTCAGAGTGTTGTCAAATCACTTGTTGATGATATTATTACACCACCATTTGGTTTAATCTTCGATGGTGTTGACTTTAGTAATTTAACAATCAAAATGAAGAACTTTGTACATAAAGATCAACCTCCTGTCGTCATTCGCTACGGAATATTCATTCAACAAATTATACATTTATTAATTATGGCTCTGGTATTATTTTTTTTCGTCAAATTTATCAATAGGCTGCGTAGAATTACTCATCGTAATAGACTACTGGCTGCAGCTAGTGAGCAAAGTGTAGCGACTGAACCGACTGAAGAGGTGAAACTATTACGCGAAATTCGAGATCTGCTAGCGGATCATAAGAACGCAACCAATTCATCGCCAATCACAAACTCACCTGTTGAACAGCCATTGAATCTTATCACTATGTAAAATATTCTTGTTTCATGTATTTACATAACTACTTCTAAGAAGAAAAACTATGTTTTTGCTTTTCCTTCAAGGCTTTAAATATATTCATAGAAAATGTCAATTATTTTTCTAAGTGCAGCCTTCTTTCAATTCGTTTGATAATCAGACGAATTGAAATAATTATCTGCAGCTTTCTCTAACTCATTTGGCAATTGTTCATAGGCACCAGCGATATCTGTATACAGTCGTCCAATATCGACATGATCCGAAGGCAATAAATGTAAATAATTTTATAGACAATCTTCATAATCTTCTAAGGCCATGGCTGATTTACAGCAATAGAATCGTTCAATGGTAGCTATCTTTTGTCGTGCACGGATTCGATCAGGATATCCTATAGGTAAATATTGATCGAATAATGACAAAGTTTCTTGATAATATTTATCGGCTCGTTCATATTTCTGTTCGATTATACAAAGATTATCTAAGCCGATAAGACAATGGCCCTTATAGGCGTAAGTTAAATCTGATCGACCAATGAAATTATCCGAATATCTCTCATGAATTTATTTAAACGTGTGTAATGCTTTAGTGTATGATTTAAATTCACGCTTCAATTGATCATTTAATTCATATATAGAACCGAGACCAAGACAACAAACATCATGGAAGATGTGACTGATACTCTCGCAAGATTGTTTACGTGTTTGAGATGAAGGTAAAATTCGTTTCAATAGCCGTTCATACCCAATAGTGTTGAGTTTAAACAGATCTTTTTCATTTGCTATTCGAGCAAGCATATAGTAGCATGGGGAAAATAGTTGTGCTGTTATATTTTTCTTGTCTATGTCTTCCGAAATATAAAGTAAGTTGCTCAAATGTTCTAATATGTGTTCATAGTACATTTGAGCTTGATCAAACTTACCCGATTGAAAAAGAATTAAGGTAGTACCTGACAAAGAACTTAATATTGGATGAATGAAACTTGTTTGCATATGGTAATATAGTGCATCCAACTTATTTTATTTATCGGACAGATCGAATAAAATCTCAAGTGCTGTTAAGTGGACATGCCATATACCTTTCTCACCACGATGCACTTCATCTACACGCAAGTTTGAGCCGACCATGAATAATACTTCTTTTTTCGCTTCACCAAAGTAACTCCATTCAGTAATATCAGCAAACGGCTTCTCGTAATTATTGCAAGAATTGCTATTATCAAGATCTATTTCAAATAAAACTTGGATCAGTATCGATTGAATGGAATCATCGCTTTCTCCGAAATAGTATAATGCCATTTGACGATCGAGTGTGTGGGTGATATATCGTGTCTGTTATATCTGGGAAAAGATTATTGATACATTCCTTAATGAAAGAATCAAGTTATCTGTCGACATTTCTAAGTGAAAATGATAATTAAAAATCTGTCCTAAATAAAAAAATGCAGCTAAAACTATGCGCCTAATAAAAAAAAAATTTGCCTAAGCTTAATTCTGCCTAAAGTTTAATTTTGCCTGTGACACATATAAGATTTTTTATAAGATCTTTGGACAGGATCGATCAAGTTCTTATGATCATTATAACTGCAAGAGTTTGACTGATTCTTAATATATGATGTAAGCGAAAGTCTTACAAGAATCGAAACATCCGAAACATACAAGAAAAGCTATTACGGTACCGAAATGATCATATAAGATCAGAGATGTTCTGTCATCAAAGAAGTATATATGATTTTTTAATCATGAATCGTACAGTATCTTCTGAGATTATGTGAAAATTCGTTTAAAGCGTATGCGTATCAATTAAGATTCAACTGTTTCGAAATCACGAATATTCACGCATAAGCTCAATTCTTTTTATTGTAAAACACTTAAAATCATCGTACAAAGGCAAATGAACACACAAGGGCGCGGGGGTGGGATCTGAATGTGGGTATGCGGATATGCAGTGTGCGGTGTGGGTTTTCTTCACACCCAGTCGAACCCGTACACCCACACCTACACCCACATCTTAATGCAATATTTAGCCCATTTTCATCCTTACTAATTAAGACAACCACTTTTCAAATAAAAAGAAGTATTAAGTTTATTTGAAAAAGCAAAAATAAACAACAAATTCAACAGCGTTTTTCAAGCTTGATATATAGAGCTTCTGGCTGATGAACGAAATGTACCTCATGAACTTTGAATTTTTGTTCCATTTCATCACCAGGCAAGATGATGTATTGACAAAGAAGACGAGTCAAACATAATTTGAGTTCCACAAGTGCAAATCGCATTCCAACACAATTGCGTGGACCTTGACCAAATGGCATGTATGCCATAGGATGTCGTGGAGTCAAATGTCGTTCAGGTATAAACAAATTCGGATCATCAGGACCCCATAAGTCTGCATCATAATGCAGCGAAAACATATCCGGTCGAATAACACTTCCTAAGTAGTATATTGAATTTCAATGAAGAACATTTCTCAAACAATATAACTGACCTTTTTCTATGATGTAACCACAAACAGTCGTTGTTGTATTGCATTCTCTTAATACGGTTTTAGGTACAATGGGAAACATTCGTAAAACTTCTCGTATAAACAAATCGAGATAGATCATATTATGAATTCGATCATAGTCACTTTCATTTTTGTCTTGATGTTTATCGATTTCTGCACGAAGTTTTTCTTGAATGGTAGGTTGTGTTGCCAAAATATATGTACAATAAGTAAGTGCCGTCGATGTTGTTTCGTAACCAGCAATCATGAACGAAAATACATTGATGATGACCTCATCATAGTGAAGCTTTTTCGACATAACATCGCCATTATTATCATTCTATGTTGTATATATGTTGAAAAATTGATTATAGTTTAAGAAATAGATATACTAACCTTTATTTGATTAGGTGTAGCAGCATCGAGCATGAGTTGAAGAAGATCAATACGACGTTTGGTTTCATCAGACGATACTCTAGCGTCGATTACATGACGCAAACGATTCACAAACCAAAAGCGTGGCAATTCTTCAGCACTTTTCTTCCATTTATGTAGAAATTGCATGAAAATAGCTTGGCCAATAACGATATAGGAGAGAACGGGAATAAGCCATGGCATCAAATAACTCAATCGAATCAAAGGATTATTTTCGAAATTTTCGTTCGTAACAGCTTCAGCTTTATGCATGTATTCATTGTCTATATCCGTTTGCATATTTGTATTGATTCCGAACGCACATCGACCTCAAATAAAAGGAGACGAAAAAAGTTTATACTTTTGTAATTCTTAACAATTCTCGAAATTATTTTTAGGAGAACTAAATATGAATTTCAAAATATAGTCTGTCTTGAAATAGTGCTAAAGTTTGTTTCCTTTTTTTTACTCACAAATGACGTCCATAGTCAATCGTTTGTAAATTAGATAAATATTAAATTCTTGTTGTTCTTCACATTTTTCTGACAACTTGTTCATAAATGATTCGATACATTCATTAACCAAAGGTGTCATAAGTTTGAGCTTTGCAGCCGAAAATGCTGGATTAATAACGAGTCGTTGACGATGCCATTGATGACTATTGGCAGTAAACAATTGCATTTTGCTTTGAGTTGTCACTCGCAAAAGGAAAGGAAGATGTCGTGAATGAAATGATGAAAATTGTTTTATATAAATTTCCTGAAGAAATTCAGGATCAGACACAACATAAACAGGACGATTACCTTCGAAAACACCATAGATCGAACCAAATTGGTGCGTCCATATTTTCAACTGGCGAGAAATGGACTCAACGGACCACAGAATTCGACAGTGACCAAAGAAAAAGCTAGGTAATGGGCCAGGAATGCCACGACATTTGAAATAATCATAGCTCGATTTCAAAGTCCAGCAATATATAGTTAGTAACACTACGACTAACAAGAAGAGTATTGCAAGAAACAGCATTCGGAATCAGCAAAAATGATCTTAAGTGTATCGATTAATATAGATGTATTTTTCTGTTTTACTAGGTAGACTGACGATGTAATGTGTTTTTATATGCGATTATTTACAAAAAATAACTTTTCTCTTTCTTTTTCTTTCAATGTATGCGCTGATACTTATATGATATAAATATATGTTAGTAAAACATGCAAGCATTGCAGCCATGATACAAGACGTCTATTAAAACGCACGTGTATAGCCAAAATATTTGCACTATGAAAACGTTGCCTAAGCAGGAAAGAATAGAAAAATGCTTTTATTGATATTAAGTGAGGGCATACGACATCATTGCTGAAAATGGTGGAGATTGAATGCGTAGAGCATTTCATGTTGAAACTGATTATCTAATTCTAAAGAAAGCAATAGAAAGCTGATCCTAAAAACAAATTTTCAACTCATTAGAATCAACTCTTCAAATTCTATCGGAAATCAACATGGTTTTATTAGTAATCGATGCTGTAAAAAATAAATATTTCTAAACAAAGCCGATTTCTTTCGTCGCGTATTTGAATCTAGAAACTAATATCAAGACTATTACTGTCTTATAATAAAAGGTAGATTGAATTTCACTCTTCAAAACTTTGTGCAAATGAGTTTTATTTGCAATATATCGTCCACATAATAGTCATTAGAATCTACAAAATAGAGGATGATCCAAAAAGTCTTGACCATTCTTAGAAAAATTGCTTGTACTTCTTTATTACAAATCCAAATATGCTCAAAATTCGATTTGTCTGATAGAGAAGATTCTTTTTTCATGTCATAAAATCAAAAGAGTGAGGAGGACGAAGGGTTACATAAAAAGAACAACATAAAAAATAAAAAGAAAGATATCAGAATGAGAAAATATTAAGAGAATCAATTATAACGAATTGAATTATATCTTAAAATTAATTAGATATCTACAGTACGCTTATCTAATTATCTTTAACTCTGATTGGAGGGTGTGGGTGTGGGTGTGGGTGTGGGTACGGGGTGTGGGGTATGGGTGTGGGTACAGGTAGGATCTTCTCTTCAACAGAACCGACACCTACACTTCACACCCATACCCACACCCAAATACCTACATCCACACTCACACCCTTGAGTCGGATAAGTTTACTAATGACTATGATAGTAATGAAGACTTAGAATTAGATGATGATTTAGATAGTATACGTAACGTTAGTACTTCTGCTAATCGTGGGATACGATTGCTTGACAATGTGAAAGAAGAACTCTGTAACACGTACTTCCAAGTTACCATTAATAATGAAACAAAATACCTTCATCAATAATCTGCTTGCTGGCTCTTGCGAAATGATAAAAGCTGATTGTCTGCTGATTGATTATTGCGAGTTAAAGATCAATAAAGATGTGTCTTTTTCAGCTGTTTTTGTTTAAACAAAATAATGGTTCTATGTCGCATTGTATACTTCCCTTTACTTTGTCGTGATTTTCTTCAGCAAAATTCATATGTATATAATGCTTATGTCAAATTATAGTAACTTTTATAGGTAAGGAAGACATATGTATATGACATAAAGAAAGTCGGAATTTTTGATTGGCATCAGAAATCAGTTTGTTCCCCTTTGATATTTGTTCATGCGTGTTCGTATATGCTTCCTTGTTGGTGTATGGCCAAGCAGCCGTTATTTCTCCACCACCAGAGACGATTATCTGGTCGCGCGCGCACGAATATCTAATCTATTTATTGACTGATTATGAATATCCTTTTTTTTTTTATTAAATGTAAATCATTTCAAGCACACAACAAATAAACATCATTAATTTATTGTCTGTTCGATTCGATATTGAATTTTTGTATTCGATGATTCCACTGATCGGCGACATAGAGATTGCCGTGTCGATCAAATGATAAACCAGCGGGACGGTTGAATTGATTGGACTGTCCTCCCAAACCGTTTCCACCAGCGATGATACTTCCCTGTGAGGCTCCTTTTGGCCAACGCATTATTCGATGATTAGAAAAATCAGTCACATAGACAGTGCCCAATTTATCGACCACGACTCCTTGCGGCCATGACAATTGTGTAAGATTATTTCCTCTTCCTTGACCACCAGCTACGACAAGGACTTGTTTTGCACCTTCTTTCCATTTCGTCACGCGATCGTTTTCATGATCAGACACGTACACTGAATGATCTCGATCGACAAATACGTTTTGAGGACCCCAGAGTTGATCGGGACGATTACCAAATCCATTGCCACCTGCAACCACTGTTCCTTCAGTATCACCAATTCTATATCGTCTCACTTCATTCTTTGCATTATCAACGACGTAGAAAGATCTATTTTCATCCATTGTCAGACCGCCGCAAGTGATGTTCGAGATGATTATTTCTCCATTAGTGCCATTTCGACGAGGCCATCGAACTACTCTTTGATTTCGGATATCGCAAATTATGAGACTATCTCCCTCTTCGTCGAAAATCACATCGTTTGGGTAGAATAACTGATGTGTTCCATTTCCTTGTCCATTACCACCGGCAACTACTTGGCCACTCGTTGCACCACATTTCCATTCCACAATACGGTAATTAAACTGATCAGTGACGTACATCGTGTCATCATCATGAACATACAAACCGAATGGGAAAGAGAGTTGATTGATTCCACCGCCTTGTCCATTTCCTCCAACTACAGTTACACCATTCTGTGCCCATTCTGCATTCGGATGAATGTCAATAGCAGGTGCTCGCATTGGTACTTAAAATAGAGAAAAATAAATGTCACACGCAATAAGGACAGAAGAAATAGAGAAGGGAGAGAGAAAGAACAAAGTTGCAAAGAAGGATGATTTTTTTTTGTCCGAAAGGTGAATAGGAGTGAGACATGATGTGACTGAATTCTATGGAGTCGGAATACATGAACTAACTGAAATCCTTGGAATTTGAGGGTGTGAGAGTGGACGATGATGACTGCCAGAATTTAGAAATATTGTTTTATTTTATTTTATTGTGGATGCTCTACAAGTTTATCTCCATTCAAATTCGTCGCTGAACGAGGAGAAATAATCAATGAATGATGAATAAGAAATGACAGAGAGGGAGATAGTCAGCATGTCTGTCAAAGGAAAACCTATTCCCCTTCCCTTCAGTTGGGAGGAAAAAATCATTTCTCCTTAACAGGGAACGTTCCCAGGTATCTGAGCGTTTTCAAGTCGGAACTTAGCGCATCTTGTAGACCTTAGTGAACTGTGTCTATGGTAAAAAGAATTCGTACTTATGGCTTGTTTCTGAGGAAATCGAACGTTTTTAGTGAATTTTTGCTGTAGGACCCTAGTTTCGCAGTAAGACCATATTTTTGAATTCCGACCTGAAACTTCTCTCACATAAAGATCTCAGTTAGACTAACGTGTATAAAAAATTTCAGAATTTTTGGATTAAGTATCTCCGGGATACGAAGCTCTCAAAAAATACATATTGTCTATGCTATATATGGAAAACGGCCTATACCTTGAAAACTCCATATCTCGAAGAGACTTAATCCAAAAATTCTGAAAGTTTTTATACATGTTTGTCTAATTGAGATCTTTATATGGGCAGAGTTTCAGGTAGAAATTCAAAAATATGGTATTGCTGCGAAACTGGGGTCCTACAGCAAAAATTCACTAAAAACGTTCGATCTTCTCAAAAACAAGCCATAAGCACGAACTCTTTTTACCATAGACACAGCTCACTAAGGTCTACAAGATGCGCTAAGTTCCGACTTGAAAACGCTCGGACACCTGGGAATGTTCCCTGGTAAGTTATTATTTTCCATTATAGGCATCTATAACTTTCTTTTCATCAAAATTCATTTTTCATACTTAGCATATTTTAATAAAATTAATATATGTATCCTTTTAGAAGCATTCAAACAAAGTCAAGCTTGACGAACAATATCATTACACTGTGCACTATACACTTATTCGTTTGACGTTAAACAACTTTGTTCAAACCATGGTATAACTTTGTCATTATATTAGACCATAAGTTCCCTTGTACAAAAAATGTCAATTTTCAGGCTGACTATTTTAAGTAAAGTAAGTATATATCCGTCTAAAAACATTATATAATACATAAGTAAATGAGTGACTTTACATTGAAATATAACACTTTATTTTAACAGCAGCGAAAAGATACGCAATTGATAATGTCTTTTCGCTGTTGTTAAAATAAAAAGTGTTATATTTCAAAGTAATATATCAAAGCCGCACGTGGCTGAAAATATTCTCACATTATGTACTATGAATCCTGTTAAGAATACAAATGGTTCTTCAAAGATCGGTGGATCTATCGAGACCCGATCGTGAAACAATCAAGATTCACATGTCTATTCCTACACACAACGAAGCCTTCTTCTGCATGTGGACATTTATACAAAGACTTTCGATTTCGTGTCGAAACAATTTTCACAAAATTAATATGCCGCCTGATGAAGTTTCTTGAATAAGACCGAAATCCGGCTCGTGGTAGCTTAAATCTAGTACACGCTCTCAAAATGGAAATGAGACTCACACTGCGATAAAGACATCTATCGGTTCTGCAATAGATTTCTTCTACCTTTTGTGCAAGACTATGTACAGACTTGAAGGCTTGACGACTCTAGGGTCATGATTGAAATTCGAGACTCTCCGTTTGATAGACTTAAGGAGATCAGAACTATGACTGAATTCATGACTCTGCCTTCAAGAGACGCGAAAACTTAAGGATTTTACGGCTATGACTGACTTCAGGTTGGATGACAGAGGATTTCATAAAATCAGGTACCTGCTCAATTGTCTTGTTAGATAGCGACAGAAAATCTCTACTGGATTTTGCGAGATCTTGAGCTTTTTTGATTGCTTTTGATGGTTTCTGAGAGCTCGAAAATCCTCTCTCGGAAACCTATAAAGGATTTCATATAGCGACAAACCCAGAAACTCTTTATAGGATTCTGAGAAACTCTTTTTTTCTAGAGTGTAAGGTACCGTATGTGCTGGTTGTAATTTTGGTTCTTTTTTCATTGGCATACAAAGCGATGAACACAATTGTGGTGACGATAAAAACCGCGACAAGAACACCAAGCAGAATGAACATGCTTTTGAAACGATATTCAAATCTTGATGACCGGCTGAAACACAACATATCGCATACGTCAAAAATGATCATTTATTCAATTGACAAGAGAGAAACAAAATGTCATATACCTGCTAGATTCTAGCGTTTCTTGACTAAATTGATTTTTCCTTCTTGCAACCGAAGACATTGCGAATTTATTTAAAATGTTCGACAATTCTCACCTGAAGATAGCTATGTAGAAGTCTTAGAATCTAAAAATGAATAACTAACCAAGAGTTCAATAACGGACACCTTTGCGATGTGCAAACATAGATATAAAGCTGTGCACGCTTGTTATTTGTGATGATAAGACAAAATGCGATAATGCCACACGATAAGCATCGTCTATTAATGAATATATACAGAACATACACCAGTTACGATGACAATGACAGGAAAGGAAAAAAATTTAGTTGGCTGATATGATCGACCATTGAACAAGCGAGAGAATTAGGTGGCGTAATTAGACAAAATAGGGTGTAGATGTGCGCGTTGGTCTGGTTTTTGTAACCCACACTCACATAGCCCAAAGCCGTACTCACATCCATACCCACACCTACACCTACCCGCAGTTTTAAGGAAGATAGAAAAGTATATGACTGTTAGACGGACGTTGCTAGCTGGGTGGTTGGCGTTTGATTTGACTTTTTCCTGGTAAGTCTCGAGTCTGACTCGATTGTCGGGACGAGCTATTTGAAATGACACTTTGTGCTGTTGAAGATCCAGCTACTGATGAACTAAGCATATTGCTGCCCTTACTTCTCTGGGATGTGGCTTGGTTCCCGTATGAAGAGTGCGCAGCCAAAGTAAGAGCTCCTGAAGTTTTGGTATCACATCATCATGGGTAACTGAATCCCATTTGAGGCATTGCATATCTGTCACGGAGTAATCAAGCCAACTAGTTGGACTCCAATTTGGCATAGTAATAATAGGAATAATTGAGAGTGGGTGTGAATGTGATTTTTAATCTTCCCTTCATTCGCACCCACACCTACATCCAGCCGGGTCGCAGTTATCATTTTTCCCATGTCTACTCTAGAATTTCTAAAAAATAAAAATTCTGAAAAATATCATCCAAAAATTTCAGCCAGCGCTGAAATGTAATGTATGTTTAGCTGCCGCCATCGATCAAAGCATCAGCTTGCACCTCCAGTCGTGATTAAGTTGACAATTTGATATAACATATGATGACTAAGCATATATGACTATCTATGATTTCTACTAGTTTCTATTGACAATCTAATAACAGTAAATACTACAAGCAAACACTATGTGATGTTTGGTAGCGTCTATTACGTAGCAAAAAAAACTGTCGTCATTGATACATGTGGACTCTGAAACTTTATTCAAAGAATAGTTAATCGATCTTTTTTATCATGCATTCTTACTTTAATATTCTGCTGATTTTAATCTTATTATCATTCTCTACGATTAAAGCAGAGTATCATCTTTACTTTACTTATCCAGTAAGTGAATCCGATTTGTACTATCATTGCTTGTACTATAAAGTGTTGGACAACATTGTTGCATATGATAGAAGAGATAAAAACTTTCAAAGTCCTTATCAGTTGATTTCATACTGTATACGACCATTTGCAGAGAAAAAAGAAGAACTGAACGGAAGTATTTCATCACAGCTCACATTCGAAGAATTGAAACAAAAAAAAGTGAATGCGCAAGATTTACTCTCATGGTCTGCTCCAATTGATCTTGTAGAAAACTATCAAAATTATCTGATTACTTCAAACTTTTCTTTAATAAATGAGCAATTCTTCAATTGCTCGCCATTATGGTTTGGACCTTTTTGTCAATATACGTTCAATTCGAATCAGTCGTTTAGTAACATCGTGTATCAGACTTTTGCCGATAAAGACATAAAATATACAGGTGTCTTAGATCACACCAATCTAAGCTGTTATATACATTTAAAATGCAATCGTGGATCGCCACCTTTGTGTCTTGATTGGCATGAAATATGTGATGGACAAATAGATTGTTTTGGAGATGGAATTGATGAGATGAACTGTATTGAATTGGAAATGAATGAATGTGAGACAAACGAATATCGATGTCATAATGGTATGTGTATACCTGAACGATTCTTTAATGATGATCCTGAAAATCCAGATTGCTTAGATAGTACAGATGAAAAGGATGACGAGTTGGTCAAGGGCAATGATCTCGACGCTGACGATTGTACAAAAGATCCAACGTTTCGATGTGAAGAATCACATCATTATCACGTTCTTCGAAATTTTGCATGTGGCGATGGACAAGAAATGTATTTTACACTCTATGAAAGCCCACATATACCAGATCCTACCCTAAACGAAGGTTTTTGTATGAATGAACGTGATGAAATACTTTTTCGCTCAGTATTATTGAATACAGAGCATTCTAGTTTTTCCTCAGATTGCTGGCTATTATTAATCTCTGTGGCATTGGGTAGGTGGCATAACGATGAAACGTTGTGTAATAATAAAGCAGTTCTGTCTGTTCGAAGCAAATGTAATTATTCAAGTTACGTTATTCTTCCTGTTTTGCCTATACTTCAAGATGATGTGCAATTTGGATATTGGACGAACAGAAAAGTACACTGTGCTCCTTCCTTTCCTGTCAAACAACTTCCAGATTTTGTTTGCTACAATACACAACGTTGTCCTTTGTTTACATCTATCTTGATGATCAATAATTTAACATGTGTAGATTTAAAAAAGATGGGAATTATTAGATTTGATCAATTAATTCGACTCTTTCGAACATGTCTTTTCGTCGATGAAAGTGGAAATGAGACTTATTGTCGACATTCATCTTTATTTCATTGTCCAGGCACGTCTAAATGTATTTCGAAACATCGACTACTTGATGGAATTGATGATTGTTATGGAGGTGTTGATGAAAAATATGAAGGCTCGTGTAATTTAAATCAAACTCATCGTTTTCGATGTTCATCAGAAAACAAATGTATCTCACCCATTCTTGTGCGAGATAGAACCAAACATTGTAAAGACGGTGAAGATGAAATTCTTTTTTCTAAGAAAACATTTTCTTATCAAAATCTTTGCAATGGATATGTTAATCTATCACCTGAATTAGACGATGAACAGAATGAAACAGATGAAACGAATTGTGAACAGTGGCCATGTAACAATCAATATACACGCTGCGACGGTGCATGGACTTGCAAAAATGGTACCGATGAGCTCAATTGTAATCAATCCTCTAAATGTTATCCTAATCGTCACGAATGTGTTTCTCCCACGACATTTAAAGTCGTCTGTTTATCAGTCGATCATGCTGGAGATGGAAAAATTGATTGTCTTGGGGCAACTGATGAAAGAGAACATTGTCGACATATGGAATCAAGTGATTTCGCCCCCTATCGATGTTGGAATGATACGTATTGTGTCATGGGAGAATGTTTTGGCAATCTTGCTTGTCAGAATGAACGAAATCCTTCTACTTTTTCAGCATGTACCAAAGATTCGAAAATTGAGACTGTTTTTACTAATTTGATGGCAGACAAGATTCTGAAAGGGATTTCCTTTGTTAATAGTGATTATTTTTTGGATTATAAGTATTTTTCACTTCACGTATCGAATAATTTTCTATTAGATACGAGATCTAGTCATTTAAAAACAATGCACGAATCTTTATCTATCGCAACGACCCACATCCATAAGAGTAAAATCCGTTCTTTACACACATTTAATGAAGATGTAAGATCATTTAAGGAGACCAGATTTCGTCAAGCTTGGATTTGCAATCGAGGCATATTGATATACATTGGAATCGATAACATAGAACATTGTCTCTGTCCTCCAAGCTACTATGGTAATCGATGTCAGTTTCAAAGTCAACGAGTTAGTTTAACTCTTGAATTTACTAGAGAATGTACACTAAACTGTCATGGAATATACGCTGTCGTAGTGACTTTAGTTGATCATCATCAAATGATTCACTCATATGAACAATTGACATACATTTCGACCGTGAATTGTCATATGAAATATAATCTCTACTTTCTATATGAATCTCGTCGGAAAGATGAAAGAAAAAATTATACGATTCGCGTAGACGCTTACAATAAAATTGATCTTACTTATCATTCAAGTTGGATGTTACCAGTTAAATTTCTCTTTCTTCCTGTCAATCGAATTGCTACTCATCTAATCATTCCAGCTCATCGAGTTGGCATCGTCAAGAACTGTCAATTTTATTGTGGTGATCACGGTCATTGTACTACGTACGTGAATAATGGGAAAACTTACTGTCAATGTGATTCAGGTTGGTCAGGAGTAAATTGTACAGTTCGCGAAGATAAATGTGATTGTTCATTGGATTCTCTCTGTCTTGGTACTGTAAACAATCGATCGATTTGTTTATGCCCATTTGACAAAGTTGGTCCACGATGTTTGCTGAATTCTGTCTGTCAACGCGATACTTGCAAGAATAATGGTTACTGTGTAGTTGAAGATGGTAAAACATCAATGAATAATTTTACATGTATCTGTTCCACAGGATACTCTGGAAGAACATGTAAAGTAAGAGATTCACGCATTGATATTTCGTTTCACAATATAAAAATTCCTCAGTTTGTACTGATTCATTTGATCACTGTACAACCGTATGATGATCCCTTGATTACTACAATAGTGAGAAAAATTGGTCTCGATGTAGACACAACGACCCTACATACATCTACTTTATTTAACCTTATTTTTGTTCAAATTGAGAATGAATATTATCTTTCTTTTATTCAAGTCAATGCCACATATGTAACTCACCTTGAACTCCAAATTATGCCTTTGCAATATTGTTTTCCTATATACAAGCTGCTTGATCAACGAACAATGGCTTTTCCTTTGCTGCGTCGAGTTAAATACTATCATATACCGTGTAGAGAACGATCTGAATTAAGTTGTTTGTATGATAATGAAGAATTCATGTGTTTATGTAACGAAGATCGATATGCGAACTGTTTTCATTTTAATTTCGAGAAGAAATCTAATTGTCAAGAACGAACACAATGTGAAAATGGAGGTCAATGTATTCAAGATCTTTCTATTTGCCCATCTATAACAATGTGTATATGTCCCGAATGTTACTATGGTGGAAAGTGTCAGTTCACAACAAAAGGTTTTAGTCTTTCACTCGATGTTATCCTTGCTTATCAAATTCGTCCGCATATGTATATTAGTCGTCAACGAGCTGTCATAAAGGTAAGTATTGCTATCACTTCGTTGATGTTATTCATAGATTTGATCAGTAATACATTGTCTATAATGACCTTCTGCTCGAAAAAACTTCGTGCAGTTGGTTGTGGACTCTATCTTTTTATCTTATCGATACTTTCATTTCTTTCTGCCATTATTCTCAATCTGAAATTATGGATATTCATTTTATCACAAATGGCATTGATCACAAATCGTACTATTCTTTGGATAAATTGTATTTCAATGGAATTTCTACTTCAATCATTGCTTACCATTAGAGATTGGCTCACCGCATGTGTTGCCATTGAGAGAGTATTTGTCGTAACAAAAGGTGTTGATTTCAATAAAAAGAAAAGTAAACAAACTGCACAATGGGTCATTATTACTATAATACTATTGACGACAATTAGTCTTATCTATGATCCAATACATCGAAAATTGATCGATGACAAAGAAGAACAACGTACTTGGTGTATTGTACGATATTCATCATTAATAAGAATCTTTGATTCAACTGTACATATTTTTCATTTTATTATTCCATTTTTAATAAATTTGCTCTCAGCTATGATGATCATTATCAATATTGCTCGAACTCATTCGAATGCGCGTAAACAACAAACATATACACAATATTTGAAAAAACAATTCCATCATCAAAAACATTTAATTATTGGTCCGATTATTAATGTTATTTTATCGATACCACGTTTGATTATTTCATTTCTATCTGGATGTATGAAATCAAATCGAGATCCATGGTTATTTCTATTTGGTTATTTTATTTCATTTATGCCACCTTTACTGACATTAATCGTGTTCATTTTACCATCCGAAACGTACAAAAAAGAATTGGATACCATAATTAAACAAAAGAAAGAAAGTTATTCAAAAATGATGACATTTAAACTAATTTGACATTACTAATTAGTTTTATTTTGTATCTGGATTTACATAACAGCAGTTCCATGTAGCCCATGTGACATATTTCCATAGAGGACTGCTCAATCAGAATCTTAGACTTCCCATGGAAAAAATTTTCGAATAAAAACTGCGATTAATCGCGATTTTTTTCGAAGAATACCGCGTTTTAATAAACCACAAAAGTCAGACCATTTATGCGTTTTTTAAAAACCGATCAAAACCGCGTTTCGCAAATACCGTGATGACGACATAGAAAACCGCGGTTTCAACTAAAGTTTTGCAAATCTAAATACAACTGATGAATGACGTTCGTCTTTACGATGTGAAATATTATTGATATTCAAAATAATCATATCTATAATAAAATTAGAAATAGCAGAACACTTATATTTTCAAAGGAAGCAAAAAAAAACTAGGCAATGAAAAATATCCTTCAATATCGTTTTCTTTTTTTAACGTTGACTAACAATTGATATTGTTATTGATTTATCCTTTGAAATCATAAAATGATTGAATAGAATAAGAAAAACCTGATTGTAATTCTTCAGTGTAATCAAAATAATCATCCGAAATCATTATTGGTTCAGAATTAGTTGATGTTGTCTGTGTTGAAACATGTTTTGATTTCAGTGTTTTTTGATGTTTCCTTTTATTTTGATGTTTTTCTTCTTTTCCTTTTTTATTACATTGATATTTTAAACCTAATAATAGTTTCTTTCTTTTTTTGTTCTTCTGCTTCTTCTTTATTCACTTCATCAATTAATTGAACAAATTGATGTATTGAACCAGTTTGTACCATAAGTCTATAATATTGTTCTGGAATAAATATATGACTTTCTTTTAAAATTTTTGTATTATAATCGCTTCTTTGACTTTCATATTCAACATCTATCATGGATGTGGGATGATTTCAGAACACGATCCACCCACACCTTATCGCTGACGAGAAAAAACTAGATAGATTTACGAGAAGGACTAGGATTCATCTCGTCTTTTGACTATACGCAAGTCATTTTAAAGTAGGAACATTGTAATTTTAGTTTTTCTCTACAGTTTTACACAGAAATTCCATTAGTGTTTTTCAAATGGACGACTCGAGACAAAAAACAAATACTATTTTAGAGAAATAGCTTGTAGGGTAGCCAAAGATATACCATATAAAATGAAACAGTTATTAAAAATGAGACTATTACCCATCTGAAAAGTGAAATTCTCACTGAAATACATAAGTCAATTTTCAATTGATATTTAGATGCTTATGATAATGCTTGGCGTAGCTATTTCATTTATGATGCTGATCCTAATATACCCAGTCGTACGTTAGATCTTACTGGTAATAGTATCAAAGACAATTAATATGCTAATCGAGATGGTACTCGTACATATCTTGATCCTAATGATCCAGTTGATTATAATAAAGATGAAAGAGTGTGGGTATGGGTGATAAGCAGATTAACACTCTATAATCTACAATCTTAATATCGGTCTTTGTTTTATCAGTTTTGCTCAAAAGGACTATTGTTTTTATTTGATAATTCAATGATATCTTAGATGTCTTTAATCTTGTATCTGTCTTTGTTTTTCTTTTGCGAATCAACTGTAATAATATTTGGTATACCGGGTGTTGCAAAAGTATTGCGACATCTTCTATTTTGCGTATATCTCGGCTTGAGAAAATGATAAAATCTTGATTTTTTTGGAAAAGATGCGCTATGAAAAGCTCTACAAAAACTGTATAAAGAGGTTCCTATTCACTTGTTCTGATGGTTTTCCCATGCTCAATATGAACAACCTGTATGATAGTGCTACTTCCCAGCGTATTGAGCATAACAAAAATGTTTGGAAGACGTTTTTTGTTTTGCAATAGGGATTTGTTCGTACAGCTTGTGTAGAGCTTTCTATGGTGCATCTTTCAAAAGAAAAATCAAGATGTTATCATTTTCTCAATCCGAGATATATGCAAAACAAAAAAGTCTTTCAAACATTTTTATTACGCTGGGAAGTAGCACTATCATCTAGGTTGTTCATTTTGAATTTAGGAAAAATCATCAGAACAAGTCAATAGGGGATTTGTTTACACAGGTTTTGTAGAGCTTTTCACGGTGCATCTTTTCAAAATAAAATCAAGATTTTATCATTTTCTCAAGTCGAGATATATGCAAAATAAAAAATGTCGCAAAACTTTTGCAACACCCGGTAGGTTGAATATAAAAATGCGCAAGATCAAATATATACGGTTCTGGTACTTAAATTTATACATGAAAAATTGGTTCTATTTTCTGCTTAGTTGTCAACAATATTTTGTTCTTCTATCAGATCCATACATTTACTGATAAGTAGAATGGAGCCGAAATAGTATACGATGTTTAGTCCTACTCTTCGATAGGTAGATATGCATCTGGTTTTTCTATTCTTAAACACAAAAAAGCGTCCATTCTCTTTAGCGTTAGATGAAATAAACTTTAGTATATCACTAATCAATATCATTTTGTATTCTTATTTGGTTCTTGAGAATAATTTTTTTCGTACAAGATCTATTCAAAAGATTCTTGAGTAAAAAAACTATTACGAGTTTAGACTCAGAATGATTATTATAATACGATAAATTAGCAAACTGTGGCAGCCTTAAAGTTATTTACTCCTTTAGAAAACATTCGAGTTTTGAAGATATTAAAACATTCCATCTATCTATAATATGTTCCTATGATATTTCATCAATAACTGATAATTTTAGAAGATTATCTATAAATTCACACAAAGGATTTCTAATAATCCATGAATTAAGAATCATATTATTTCGTTCTTATAATTAAAATTGCATAGTTAAATTATTTCAATAATCGTTTTAATCTATGATAAATGATGATTTGTTAACTTTCGGAAATTCTCAAAAAAATCTTTATAAGTATCTAAGATTTTTTTAAAGAAAACAATATTTCTTGCAGATAATCAATCAATTCATCATTTTCAACACTATTTGAAATAATCTTAAATTTTTATACACAATCAATTATAATATCAAGATGAGTATTGTGTTGATTATTTCGTAGCCATTCACAAATTTGTTCAATTTCTTGGTCATTTTGACTATGTAATACGAAATTTGCTGCTGTTATCATTCTCATTTATTACCTATGATTGAATGATTAGTAAATCATTTTTTTGGCTTCTTTTTTAAAATCGATATTTTTACCATGATAAACGGTTTTGAGATAGTCCATTTCTTGTCAAGTGATATTACCAGTTCAAAGACTTTATCGATCAATTCACTCATACCATTTCTTTTAATATTTTCAATTTATTGTTTGAAATATTTTTGGACAGTACGTGGTGAAAATATCATCAAATAGATGATATATTCATAAAATGACTGCTCTATTTTGATACTACATTATCAGTATAGAGAATCAATAGGTTCTATAGTTGAGCGAAGTAGGCCACATTTTCTTTCTTTGAAAGATCATTATGAGAACGTCAAAACTTGATTCTCTTCTTTCTTGACTGATGTGCAATGAAAGCCAAAAACAAAACTCATCGTGCTCAAACTTTGTCGTGAACTTTTCTCTGTATCAATGAGTCATTAATCTTTGATTTTTCAAAAATAAATATATGTCTCAATTATTTCGAAACTTTATTCGAATCTGTGAGATTCAGAATAATAGAAATAATCACCGTATCAAGTGTTTCCTAAAGTGTCGATAATATTATTCGAAAATCATAGACATTAACAAATCGATTTTGATCGAAATTTAATAGTTATTTCAATCTTCTACAAATATTTTCAACAATGATTTATTCGAAAAAGCCAATATCATCAAACTTGACGAATTGTGATGATCAATGATGACATTTTGTTATCAAATCTTGTTTCAAAGATGAAAAGTCTTCCGATAATGGTAGACATTTTCTATATCCTTGTTGAAAACCACACTCACACCCGGATCACTCGGGAATAGTCTAACCTTTTTAGTATATTTTCGCACGTTTTTTTGTTTATTTTATTAATGCACATGTACTAATATGTAAAGATGAAAAAATATTCTTACATACTAGTATAAGAATGGTATGAGTTCGACACCATTACCATCTGAAAACTTGTTACCCAAAAGACGTGCCCAATCGATGACCCACCAAACAATTGAACTAATAAACAACAATATGCTGACTATATAGGCTAGTACAAAAAATGTATTCCGAGTCATTGTTAAACCACAGATTATAAATGGCAATCCAGCACAACATCCACCAAACAACAATAGTTTGAATGTGCCTGCAACAATATATCTTGCATTTCCACGTGAAAGATAAAACCAATCGATACCAAGAGTGCCAACTAACAAGGAAACGAGAAAAGCAACTAGTTTTGGACGTTGTTCATATAAACAATTGTTGTCAGTTCCATTTACATTGCCATATGTTGTCCATCCTTTATCGCATAAACATACACTCGTATTTAGGCAATATCCATGTCCATTGCAATCTGCGTCAGTAGAACATGAATTGCTGCTACTTCCGTTGTTTATGTACCGAAAGTCAGGCAAGTCATCTATTTTGTCATTCGAAAGCAGAACTGCTGCATCAACTAATGGTAACGAAGTGAATATCAAAGTGAGATACACAGTCAGCAATGTAAATTTTCTCATTAAGAATAAGTAATATCAAGTATATACGAAATAGTGAATAGGAGAAAACGAAAAATTACTTATGTACAATGTTTAAGCATAGTTTTTAAGTATCGTCGTCGTTATTACGGATCAGTAAACTCGAAACTGATTCATCTGAGTAAAGTAAAGAAAGATATCGTTTGCCTCAGCGAATATGTGTATTATGAAATTACAATGTCGAACATTCGTTTTATATGATTAGTATGATCATTACTCATTTTTCATGGATAGCGTGATAATGTACAACGAAATGAATCATTCGCTCATTTCTTATCACCATATGCATATCGACTTTTACATTCTCTTATCTTCTTCCTGGATATATCTCTTGTAGTCTCTTCTCATTTGTAAATATAAAATTGAAATTCAATTTCAATTTCCTTAATTTAAATTCTTGAAAATTTATTTTGTCATGCAAATTATTTTTAAAAAAATTAATCGAAAGCTTCAAGGTTTAATTTTTTTAAAATTTTACGGGTATCAATTTTAATAAATCTTATACTTTTCGTTTTAGTGTCTGATGTAAAAGTCTAAGAAACATTAGAGTTCGGAAATATCACAGATATTCATAAGCAAGAAGTCTGACTTTTGCAAAATTTGTTTTAAATACAAATGTTTATTACAGTTTTTAATAAAACTAAAGTATAAAAATTTTGGCATTCTGCATCTTTAAACAATAAAATATATTATTTCGAGTCGAATTTAATCAGATTCAATGATTAGAACATTGATCTACAGAAAAATTTCAGAAGTTTCTTTTCGTTTATCTCATATAGAAATATTCTTCACATTTGTTTTTATAATCTTTATGATCTCGCAATTACAAAGACGGACTGAGCTTCAATATACATCAAGTTCTACTTATGTCATTAAAAAATAATTCATTTTATTTTACTCTACTTTGAATCGATCAGCTTGAATCTGTTTATTAGGTGATTATGTTTTTTTTTGTTCTATAATGTAACTATTTTCAATGGTTATCTCCAAGTTTTAAATTTGAATTTGATCGAAATATTCATCATCCGTTCATGTTTCTATTACATCTCTTTCGTTTTCGACGTAACTTTTGGATATTTGATATCATTCTTCTGTTTGACTCTGATTCAAATATCATCATCAATAAATAGCTCATTAAGAGTAATATACAGGGTGTCCCAAAAGTCCGTCGGAAAAATAAATTCGTAGAATTCCACTATTTATCGTACATAATCAATTAATTTTTTTTTCAATAATAGATATAAGTGTGAAGTTTTTAATTGCATGGACGAACTTCATAGATACTGTTCAAAGTTATAACTTTCAACTGAAATAGAAAAAGCATTTCCCAATATTTTGCCTTTAATACTTTAATTTGTTGCGTTTTTTGTCACAATTATATCGGCTACATTTTACTCTATCATTTATATGCATTTGTTGTGCCATATTATTACCAGAACAAACCCGATAATGTCAAGTTCGATGTTCATGAAGCTCATGAAATCTGTTTACCTCGTCCCGATCACCAGTCTTCGTTCCACAAGTAAAAGCAATCTAATGGACTTCATGATTGTCTAACTTGGCATTATCAGGTTTGTTTTGATAATAATATGGTACAACAAATGCATATAAATGATAGAGTAAAATGTAGCCAATATAATTGTGACAGAAAACGCAACAAATTAAAGTATTAAAGGTAAAATATTGGGAAGTGCTTTTTTTATGAAATTGAAAAAGGAGTGCTTTTTCTATTTCAGTCGAAAGTTATAACTTTGAACAGTATCTACGAAGTTCGTCCATGCAATTAAAAACTTCACACTTATATCTATTATCGAAAAAAAAATTAATTGATTATGTACGATAAATAGTGGAATTCTACGAATTTATTTTTCCGACGGACTTTTGGAACACCGTGTAGTAGTATGAATTTATGTCTTGACTATGAATACACGTGGCAAATATTTATTTTGTCGAAGTCGGTTTTATTCCGCCGATACTAATCAAGTACGCTCTTATCTACTCTCACGTACTCTGAACGCGAGTTTAGTGTCTATAATGCATTCTATTTCCAACAATTGATGAAAGTGACCACGAGTAAGAACAATAGAAGTCGTTCGATTGGGATCACTTGATTCTGATGAGATGAATTATATTGTACGAATATCGAACTTATTGTTTACAAAGATATCTTCATCTATCCTTTAATAGGACTGTCCTAGTTGTGTAATATGCATAGATTTCTATGATTTATAATGGCATAATTTCTCTCTACTGTCTTATATAAATAAAAATTCATTTATTGAAACAATCTCTAATCATTGCACTGAGCATCTCGTCTATGAATAATAAATGCATAAGACTTCTCAATAAACTATATAGTAAAATAAAAACTTGATTATCTCTACTATGCATGATTTTTCAGTAATGAACAGATTTTTTCTGTACGTTATTAAGACAATATTAATACCTTAATTTTCCATTCACAAATGAAGTTTTCATACAACACTAATGGTTATATATTTCATCGATCTGGGATTCCGACGTTCTCCTGGATATCGGTGCGAGTTTTGATTAATCAAGAAGTATGTATTTTCAACATTTTCTCGCCTTGTATGAATTGTTATTGCAACGTATTTAGGTAACTTCAAAATGGAAAAGAAGATGTTCAGACAAGAATATCTGCAAACGAAGATTCTTCAACTTTATATGCATAACAATTCTTGCATTACCGATTAACGTATAAAAAAAAGGCAGATATATTCATATAGATTCAATTTCTTCTTTGTAATACATATACAAAAAATTACATCCATTTTCAAACACCAGCATACTTCTTCTCTTCGTATACTGAGCATTCGTTATACATTACTAAGGGAACTAGGAAGAATAGATAGAATATATCGAGTCAAATCGTAAATATTTTTGTTCATATTAAGTCTATTTAGATTTATTCAAGGTGAGTAAAGTGGGAGAGCTATGTAGGTATTTTAAGTCGGAAAGAGCAGATACAGATTGCATAAAATCGTATTTTACATGTTTATTTAATATGATATCTCTGTAGTTTTCATGTCTTCTTTGGCACCAATACAAGCATCTCATAGTTTACGTTTCGAACTCATAATGAAACTAAAATAAAACGACAGCAAGATCAAGATCAAACATATTTAGACATAACGGGACCATTTCTGCGACCAAGACCAAAAAGGAAACCAAGAGTCTCGATATAATCCTCTCTCACTAAAGTATGAATAGACTTTACAGATAAATTAGCATTTAAGTATTATATATACGATTTTGAAGTGCCAAGATATCTTATCAATTCTGTATATTTCAATCATATTTCATTTGGCAAAACATAAAGAATATGTAATTAGAGAAAAAAAACGATCGTTTGCAGTGGTAGTGTAGCTAAAGAATAAATTAATATATAAGTTTTCTCTGTCATATGAGCAGTAAGATAATGTAGACCTTTAAATTAAAGTATGAGCCTATTGAAAGTTCGTGTCCTTTCAACAGTGGTCAAAATGCTTTCCAGTTAAGCCACACCTTCTTATACTGAACACCCAGAAAATTAAATAATGAAAAAAATGGCATTTTTTCTACATGAAAGTCACCATTTTTGCCCACTTTTCTATACCATGGGCATTTTTTTCACTACGTCACTTGAAGATACAAAGAAAATTGTATTATTAGATTCAACATTGAGCGATGCGTTAAATGAACATAACTATTTCCGAACTTCTTGAGAAATAAAGAAAGAATGGAAACAATTAAAATTGTTTAGCGATATACTTCTTTTGTTTCGCATAAAAATTTGGGATTGTTCATACTTCATTAAACTATACCTTCACACGAAAAAAAAATAATAATAAAGAAAAAAAAAGGCTATTCTATTTATGAATTACTTCCCTATTGTTACTAAGAATTAAATTTTAATTTCAAATTGAAATGCATTCATACTTGAGTTTGCCTCACTTTTTATTCACATCCTCACATGCATGATTTACTGATATTTTGTTTAAAAAGTCCAGCTGCAATCTATGCGCTGTTTCCAAACCAGGCACAGCAATGAATTCTCACAAATTGAAAAAAAAGAAAATTATGCCAGTTGTAACAAAATAAATGAAAATGCTCCGATGATTAGTTAATCTTTTCGAATGAAAGAAAACAGTTCAATCAGTTGATAGTAGTAGTTTAAAAAGAAGATTTGTTATTCATGAATAACGAAAAAAGACATGCAAATAAAACTAAATAATAATCGACTTTTTCTTAACTGAAAAATAATTGTTTATGTCAATTATCTTCGATAGATAATAAAGTAAGATTGTAAATGAAAGATTTAACAAGAACTTTTCGTCAACAATTTATAGACCACAGTGTTACAAAATAAGTCATTGACTTATCAGCACTACACGAGACTAGAACTATCTTTTACTCAAAATAAAATGCATTGATTCACATAGAAATATGAGTAGTGTCCAATAAGCTACTTCTGATTCTGTTAAAAAATAGCACAACATCTTTATTAGTAAAGAAAAATAAAGTAATTACTTTTTGAGAAGCATTAAAATATTTGACGAATAAAGTCATTCTGAATAACAAAAAAATTTAAAGTAATTATCTAAGAGCAGTTAAAGCACAGCTGCAAAGCGAGTAAGAAAATATCATTCAGATAAACGTTCGAAATTAAAACAATGAAAGCATATCACAAATTAGAAGCGTATCTCTCTCCATTTCTCACAATGATGATGTTTCTCGAGCTATTACATTATTTCAGTTATATCTAAAACAATATTAAAACAAACTTTTTTTCCCGAGTTATACAAGAAAAAAGAAAAAGAGACATACATCATCAAAGTTAATGTTTAGAAGAAGTCATCTGGAGAATAGAAGAGACAAAAAGAAGAAGAATATACAATGAATAACTTTTAAAAGCAACAATTCTAATGACTTGTTGCTTTTCTAAAGAAGCAAAAAGAAATCAACTATTCATTAACGTTGATTTTATCTATAGATTCATAGATCATTAGAGTAGTAGAATTAAACATTTAATCTTTTGATCGATCGATATACATTTAAGATTTGCATAGTGCAGTTAATAAATAATCTTCTATATCAATGATTACCCAAGCTAGTACTCATGTCCAACTCAAAAATAAATTTATACATTTCATCAGAAATCTGAACTTATATGATGACGATGATGAGTTGACTCTAGCTGATCAGCTCTTATCTACACGTGTTCTCATTATTTCACTTTCGATCGCTCTCGTAATTATACTATCATTTACTGGTATTATTAGTCAAACACGTTTAATCACTGTTTCTTCACCATCTCTCAATGATTTCGAACATTTCATCAATACTAACACAGCTACAATTATGTGTCGTTGTTCTCAAACATCGATTCCTTATCCACAATTTGTGTCATTCAATCCACAATTTCATCAAGTTTGCTCAAGTGATTTCGTCAGTGAAGAATGGTTTTCCTCTTTATTCAATGTTAATACAAGCAACTACCATCCTCTTGACTTTCGTTTGGTGGCTTCTGCACAATTTCAAGTTTTATCTATTCTATGTCGAACATCACGTCAAGCTGTAATCGATGCTCTCAAAGGATTCAATTCAATAGCAATATTGTCACCAAATGCATTGTCATATGATGCACTCAATAGTTATATTGGCCCATCTATTGAACAATTTCAGAAAAATACACTTGACAACTTCCGTTCATACCATCATTTTGTGTCATCTCTTATCGAAGAACATCGTTTTATATCTGCATTACGAACAAATTTCTATACGCGAAGTGTTCCTGGCAGTAATATTTCTGTAACTTTTTCTGCCATTTATCCACAACAAGTCGACCTAACTCAGTCGTCATCGATGTTGAATGAAACATGTCGATGTGATCGTACAAGTGATTGTGTTTATCCTGCTGGCATTTATAATCAATCGCGAGCTATCATTCCGAATGAAGTCTTTTCACTTGATGTATCACCTCTATTCATGATACCAGAATTTCAAGTTGGATGTGTACCTCAAAATGCATTGCTTCAATCAACATTGGAATGCTTTTATAATCAATCATGTTTAGACATCGTGATTTCGTTGACTGATGCTCTTCGCACTGTCTCAGCTCTGAATATTTCAAACTCTTTTTCACGATTCAGTCCAACAACAACTATTGGTATTCTTTTTGATAATCTAATGGTTGAATCTTGGGAGAACTCTACTGATTTTGCCGCCTATTTCCAAACTTGTGCACCCAAAGCTTGTTCATATTCATATTTACAACGGTTTTTTCTTACTTATATGATTGCAACCATGGCTAGTATCTTTGGTGGACTAAGCGTAGCATTGCGTATAACATCTCCATGGTTTGTCAAATTCATTTTACGTTTATCTTGTCGACAAGTTCGAATGCTAGCAACTAATGAAGGACATGAACCAAACAGAAGTAAAGTCAATCTCTACTTCATTATATTTTTTTTCTTCTTATACTTTTTCTTTCCATAGATTTCCAAGATCGTATATGGAGTTTTGTTAAGCTAATTCGTCACAAAGCTATCACATTCAATTTGTTCAAGACAATTTTCACCAATGTTAAACATGGTATTTATTCTACTCGTGTCTATATCATATTGCTGATGCTTGGTATTTATATTTTGATCGTTTACTCTACATCAATAGTTAGTTCACAACAAATCATTGTCAGAAATCCAACTATGGATCAATTTGAATATCTTCATGACATGCATTCTTCAATTCTATCATGTCCATGTCGTTATTCATTTATACCACGTTCAACATTCATATCCAATGAAATACAAATTCATCCATTTTGTAAAAGTAGTTTTATTCATGATGATCGTTGGTTCCAATATTGGACAATGAAATTTCTCAATGGCAGCATCGATCCTAGTCCACCATTCTATTGGACTGATTTTCGCAAGAATGGATTGAAGTTTTTTAATTATGTCAAACTATACTGTGATATAGCCAATATAAGTTTGTCTGGCATAGTGAATTCGCTTCAAGAAAAGTATTTTTTCTCTCCTCAACCTATTACTCAACAAGAATTCAATGCAACAAATCAGGATTGGAAAATTTCTTCTCAAAACCAGGTAGAATACAATGAAAAAAGATAGCATAAAAACATATTTTCTTACACTTTTGAGCATCTAAATCTTGATTTTTCGTCAAACTGTACGACACTCTTTCCTACTATACGAAGAATATCTATAGGAGGAAGGAAAAACATAAGTAGATAAATCTGGAAAATCAAAATAACTTTATTTTAGTTTCACTGAAAGCAAAATATATCATTATATTTCTTTTATCTAGATTTCACTAATATATTGGAGTAAATTCTATCCAGTGACACAAAGTATCCAACAGAGTGGATTAATTTCATTCGCTTTTATTGATCCTTCTGTGATTTCCAGGCAGATCAATAGCACATGGATTTTAAAGTATGCTCCAAATATCACCAGTAACTATAATAATCTGCCATGTAATTGTATGCCATATGATTATTGTTTAAAACCATTGGGTTTCTATTGCTATTCATCGTCGTGTACACAAACAAATGCCGCATCATGTAGAATTATTCCTGGTCTATATCTTGGCTGTCAATTTTTAGATTTTGGTTCTTCCACACTAGAATGTTTTTACAGTAAATCATGTGTTCAGATGTTGATTGATCAGCGCCTTTACGGTTATGAAAATATCTATTTACCAATTGATTTGAGTAATATAACAGCACTTGATCCGAATGATCTCATCTTATTTGAGCCTGAATACCTATTAGAAGCTCTCATACAACACATTTTCCTTAATCAATGGATCTATATAGGAAATTATACATTGTACTATGCTCAATGTCAGCCAGAGATATGTACATACACAATAGATCTGAAATTACATCTTATTGCTCGTGTTAACTTAATTATTGGTCTGATTGGAGGACTAACTGTTCTACTTCGTCTCTTCGTTCCATCATTCATGAATATTATCTATCTGATTTATCATTTATGCTATCAGCAAACACGAGGTGAGAATTTTTTTTCTTTCATTATTTAATTATCTTGAATTATTTTAGATATTCCTTTACATTGGAGAATGATTATTACCCATATCCGAGATAAACTTTATCTCATGAATGTGTACCGAAAAAAACGAGAAGTGGAATATCAACTTTTAGCAACAAGACTCTACATTGTTCTAGTTGTTCTATGTTTCGTGATTATCTCAGTTTTCGTACGATTTCAGCATCAGACAATATTGATAAGCATAGATGCACCAAATGAAACTTACTTTTCATTTCTTCACAGCCAATATTCTGATAGTTTATCATGTCCTTGTACAAATATAGCTATTCCTTGTGAATATTTTGGAACCTATGCAGCTAATTTCGAAGGAGGCTGTTACGATATCATGTCACAACCGTCTTTCATGATGTTATTATTGCCCGAAAACATACTCTGGGAAGAATCCGGTTGGAATCTCATCCAACCACAATTTCTTACCCTATATAGCCGATGTTTTTTCGCAATGAGAAGTTCAGACCGGTCGCTAAACACTTGTAATCAGCGAAGTTTGATATCAGTTGAAGCAATGGCTTTACAAACATTTAATGTATGGTTTAACTTGTTTATAACTGGGCTAGATGAGAATTCTCTGCTCTCACCAGAAAATACTTATAAAACGGTTTCTGATATGCTTCAAGCAAATCAATTTCATAACCGATATATGACAAGCTGGAAAATAGAATTTTCGAATTTAGATGAAAACTATATTCTTCGTAACAGTCCAGTTTCGTTGAATAATGGTACTTGTTTTTGTCCAAGTGGTAAATCAAATTGTGCAAAGATACTTACATATTATGATTCGATCAGTAGTTCAAATGTATTTTCAGGTAAGCTCTTTAATTAAACTTTCTCATAAGCTTTTATCATGGTTCATTGACTTATTGAGATTTTCAAAAAGGTCTATAATTAAAAGATAATGGTTGAAAAACTAAATTAATTATTATTGATATTTCATTTATTTAGGTATGGTTGTTGGATGCTCAATCATGAGTGGTCTTTTACAGTCGACATTTGAATGTTTCAATGATGATGTTTGCATCAATCAATTTAATAGAGATTTTAGTAGTTCATTCACTAAATTTAATCTTAATGCAACGCAGTTAAGAACTCCAATTGGATCGCTTCTAGATGAGTATCCTACAGTATCATCGAGCGCTTCAGCTAATTATTCTGCATATTTTGAAATATGTGCTCCATCAATATGTCAATATCATTATATGGAACAACATAATATTGTTTACATATTCACAACACTGCTTGGCTTGTATGGTGGATTGACTGCAAGTCTACACATTTTGGTATGGCATATGTTCAGTCTTTATCGATTCATAGTTAAGCGTTGTTCATGTTGGTTGCAACCTGTACATCCATCATCCTAAACTTGAATGCACCATCTATGATATGAACAATACTTCTTATTCAACTCTTTGAATAATGTCAATTTTCGATGTTGTATGTCTTCTCTTGCTTTTCTCAAGCATAAAATTCAGCAATCGAGATTACTATCATTGCTTTGCTTTTGCTTTTATTTGATTTGTTTTTCATGGAAAAATTATTTATCTTCATTCAATAAAACTTATTTGTATGTTAGCTTATTATTGTACTCAATATTCATCGACATCAACTAGAATGAGATATTAGTACTAATCACCAAACTGGCATATTCATTAGATGATTATGAGTAGATAATAAGTTGAAGAAAAATATATTATTTATTGGATAATCAAAGATAATGAACAAGTATAGTAATTTTATTTATATACTCTGGCTCTTCACAAGATATTTGGTTTAAGGGTCAATAGCATATGTCGTTGATCAATTTACTCATTATTAATCTATTCAATTTAATTTCCTACGCATCCTTATGAAATAATGTATATATAAGAATGTTATGATCTCAGAGTTTTATCTTAAATATAAAAATGAATAACAAGATTCGTTAATAAAACCATTCATTCTATTTTCAGTTCATCTCTGTATTGTTTTTCGATTATTTTATTGCCATCACAAAGTCAATAGTTTTTCCATATTATATACCATGGATCATCCGTTTCAAGGAGTTTTGCTTTGTTTTGCGTGTCAGTTCATGATTTTTTTATCATGCATGTCTTTCTTTTTACCGCTACTTGTATTTGAAAATCTTGAGTTATATGCATGTTAATTGTATCACTCATGATTAAAACTGCAGAATATCATTCAATAACTCGAAAGCCTCATTAAACTTGACTAGATCTTTCCAATTAATTATACCAAGTTATATAGTTTAAAAGAAAAGAAGTATTCAATGCAAGGTAATGAAGCACACAGGTCAACTGCGTTTTGTTCAATCACACTTCCATTTTCTTGTAATTATTTGCGGTTAAAAACAAGTGATATTCTTATTTAGAGTGTGGGTGTGGATAAAGAAAAGTGAACACTCACACCTGGTCACGATCACGTCATGGTCACAGAAATTTTTTGAAGCTAGTCACGGTCACGACCATGATCATACCAAGTATGTTTAGACCAGCAAAATGGATAACCTCTAACCCCGTCAAATCTTACATTGGGGAAAAAATAACCAATTGAAGTCAACTATTTGGTTTATTGAAAAACATTAATATACAAGAAATAGTAAGCGGTGTGATTTTTTTTCGTTTTCAATATTACATAGAATGAGCAGTTTTCTTGATGAGATTGTTGAACAAACCAACTAAAGGATGACTCAAGAGTTTCGACTTTTCTCAGTGAACTCATGTTATTTATGGTAAACATGTATATAGTTATTTGATCGAAATATACAATTTTGTACAGAAAACTTAGAGCTGTCATTTGAAAAGAGAGGTGGGTGTGGAATAAAGAGTCTTCCGCTCTTCTACAACCCACATCCACACCCTCGTTTCAGATTTATTTATAAATATAAAGTTTTTCCTTCTCTTTATTTTGTAGATTCTTCATGGATGCTGTACTGTTTTTCATGCAATAACATTTTATCGTAGGGCAATAACAATCAAAGCTGAAGAAAATCTCGAAAAAAACAACCTGCTCCACCTGTTGAATCACATGTTGATGGATGCGCTGATCCATCTGTTGATGTACAGACGATGTTCCTAATAAGAACAGGTGTGTCAACACCCTCGGTTATTTTCTATTTTTCTCAGGCATTTCTCAACATAAAAATATTATTTTTGCATTTCTGAGTAGAGGAACACTTGGCGCATCCAATGATACAAAAATGAGCTAATCATCTCAAAAATTGATTGAGTAATTAGCGGTATATTTTTGAGAAGTGAATTTGTTCGTATTAGGAGCCATGTTCCTAATAAGAACGACAAGCTAAAATTTGTTCCTAATACGAACACTCAATGTAAAATACATACAAAATTAAAAAAATTTAGTAAACGAGATTTTTTTATATCAAAACTAAAAAATTTTGATATGGTTCTTTTACCAAAAATGTTCTTCATCATTTGATACATTAAAATTCAAAGGCTCAGAATTTTATCATTTAATATAGCTGAACCATATTAATTCTAAAATTGAATCGCTTGTTCTTATTAGGAACACTGTTCCTAATTCGAACAACCAGCAAAAAAATGTTCCTAATAAGAACATTCTATGTAAAATACATAGAAAATAAAAAATATTAACTAAACGAGGATTCTTCATGTCTAAACTAAAGAATTTCTTTTTGTGGGTGCATTAAAAAATGTTCCTTGACTCAAATTACATTAAAATCCAGCGGTAGAAGGCAAACGGAGTTACTGTTTGATTTTTATTGATAAAATTGTTATTTCTATTTTTTATTGATTTTTTTATTTATTTTTAATATCATTTTCAACAAAATTTTCATTAAATGATGTTCAAATTTAACATATATGCTATTTCCGACATATACATCAATGATAAAACAAAAAAAATATCTATAGGTGCCCAGATCCTCACCTCCTGGGGGATCCCTCCCTAAGATGGGAATATTTTGGATTTAGCACTACCACTGGATAGCTCTATGAAAGAGCTATCGATTGATATATGATTCATGATATTGGACTATTTCGTTTCTCTAGAATCATGAGTTTCAATACTAGGACATGCAGTCTTGATATTGGCATCTCTTGTTAGAGAGCACTACCATAGTGAATTATGAAATTCTTTCCATTAATTGATAGTCTTCTGTTAGAAGTATTAGATGCTGATGAAAAATTCAATAAAACTATTTCTCTTGATCCTCGAATTCAACCATATTCCTCGATGTAGATTATTATATGCTCATTATAGTAGAATACTATTATTGAAACTCGTGATTCTAGAGAAACGAAATAGTCCAATATTATGAATCATATATCAATCGATAGCTCTTTCATAGAGCTATCTAGTGGTGGTGCTAAATCGAAAATACTCCCATCTTAGGGAGGGATCCTCCAGGAGATGGGGATCTGAGCACCTATAGATATTTTTTTTGTTTTATCATTGATGTATATGTCGGAAATAGCATATATGTTAAATTTGAACATCATTTAATGAAAATTTTGCTCAAAACGATATTAAAAATAAATAAAAAAATCAATAAAAAATAGAAATAACAATTTTATCAATAAAAATCAAACAGTAACTCCGTTTGCCTTCTACCGCTGGATTTTAATGTAATTTGAGTCAAGGAACATTTTTTAATGCACCCACAAAATGAAATTGTTTAGTTTAGACATGAAGAATCCTCGTTTAGTTAATATTTTTTATTTTCTATGTATTTTACATAGAATGTTCTTATTAGGAACATTTTTTTGCTGGTTGTTCGAATTAGGAACAGTGTTCCTAATAAGAACAAGCGATTCAATTTTAGAATTAATATGGTTCAGCTATATTAAATGATAAAATTCTGAACCTTTGAATTTTAATGTATCAAATGATGAAGAACATTTTTGGTAAAAGAACCATATCAAAATTTTTTAGTTTTGATATAAAAAAATCTCGTTTACTAAAATTTTTTTATTTTGTATGTATTTTACATTCAGTGTTCGTATTAGGAACAAATTTTAGCGTGTCGTTCTTATTAGGAACATGGCTCCTAATACGAACAAATTCACTTCTCAAAAATATACCGCTAATTACTCAATCAATTTTTGAGATGATTAGCTCATTTTTGTATCATTGGATGCGCCAAGTGTTCCTCTACTCAGAAATGCAAAAATAATATTTTTATGTTGAGAAATGCCTGAGAAAAATAGAAAATAACCGAGAGTGTTGACACACCTGTTCTTATTAGGAACATTGACTGTATACTAAAATAAAATATGCAAAGTGCGATCTCTCAGAAACCAAAGTTGTTCTCGAACGATAACTAATTATCAGCAAGCGTTCTAACTTTTTTACTGCTACATGTTCAACAGAAATTTTGTTTTCTTTTTTTCTTTGTCTTGTTGCTATTTGTATGCTATTTATTTTCTTTTAACGTTTGAAATCAAACGGTAACGGGTACCTGGATCGAATCTGAATATGTGGGGTAAAATGAGACAGATCGACGACCGGACCGGAGCTGAAACCCATTGACAAACTGGAGCTACTACAGACCCGAACAGAGACTGAGAGCGACACCGCGATCGTTATTAAAATCTTGACCTGTATTAAGACAGATAATCGACCCAGAACAAAAACTGGGACGGCTACAGGAATCGTGATCAGGACTTCACCAGATGTGATGACCGCCACTGCAAATGGGGCGGCTATAGGAAGCAGAACTCAAGCAAGGGTGCATAGCCGGATCAGGCTGAAGTTCGCGACACAAACAGACACTGAAGATGCAGTACCAGCAAGTGTGAAGTTAAGACACGATATGAGACAGCTATTGGGACTTGAACTCGGGATAGTGACAGAAATCAGGAATGTACCAGAATCTGCTCGCAAATCCAGTTATAAATGAAGACGGAGAGACGAACTGAACCGAAAATGAGAGCCTTGGCTAAATCTGAATCGGGTACTGGGACCAGAAATGGAATATGGATAGGTATAGGTTGAGGCGGTGAAATCCGAACCGATATTTGACTGATCTGAAACCCAGTCGAGAAGCGCCACCCGACAGAATCCGAGTCAGTACCGCCACCACAACGGACAGTAGGATCGAATCTGAAGCCGACAACATCATCAGAATTCTGGATCTAGTCTGAAACCACAGCCTAAGGTGAGACGAGTAATGCTGGCTGCAGCGAAATCGAGGCAAGTATCGGACCTAGAAATGAATCTCAGCTGCCAAAGCCAAGTTGATCGGCACTATGATCAAGTCTTAAACTGGCACCGCGACGAAATCCAGGATGAAAGAAAGATCCGACAGTATCCTCGAGCCCATAGTCACAGGAATTGGCAACGCGACTAAGTTTCAAGCCGAAACTGTAAAGAAAAATGAAGC